GTAGGCACAATCTGACTTTTCTAAAGCAACAGACTCCTTTTTGAAGAGGACAAAAATTGCATCTACACTTACATAATGCTCAATTAAAACATAGGAAAACTTTTTTGTTCCTTGCTTTGCTGTAACCAAATGAAAAGCACATTCTGGATAATTGTAGCAATCCAACATGTCCAACAGTTTGTTTATAAGACAAAATTATATTTTATATATTACTATAGCCTGAGATTTTCGGATGAAGCAAAAACTAAAGTTTGTAGTACTGCTAAATTAGGTATGGATTTGTGATATATTTATCTTAGATTTTAGCCAAAGTACAGCAAGCAGTGTCCATATTTCTAGGCAGTACCTGAATGACTACAGCAATTACAAGATCACTTAGAGGTGAGAGGTGAAACTCATAGCGTTTCTTTTAATATTAGAGACAGCCATCTCTCTCAAGGTTCTGCAGCTCAGTTTTAAGAAAAATTAAATCTAAACTTTTGCCTGCCTAATCTTAAGTGATCAAGCAAATTGAAACTCACTGGTCTAGAAAAAAATCACAGCAGTATGCAAAATCCCAATAAGGTTTCTAATAGCCACTTCCCATCATAAAATGAGGCAACATTTGAAATAACACCAGACACAAGCTGCCCTTTAAAAACTTTGCTCTCATAGAAATGCCTTCAGGAGGTTTTTAAACAAATTTTGATTATTCCAAAAATTAAAATTTTGCACTCTATAACTTTGATGAACTAGTGCATACAGAGACAATCAATATGCTATCTATTACAGCGATGAAATCTATGTTCCCACACAAAAGCTTCTCTTTCTGATAGGCTACCGATCCAGAATGGCAACTTCCAGATGAGTTATCTACAGCACACTGAAAAGTCTGTTCTTACAGATAGAGGAGTAACTTTGACCAGAAGCACACCAGGTTTAACGAATCAGTTCAGGACAAACCTAATTTGATGAGCTAGATCTAGAAGTTGAAAGTAAATTATCCTATTGAATACAAGGTATCATAGCTAAAACACTCAATCTGATAATTAAAGTATCCATGGTAACAATGGCAGAATAACATGTATTCATACTTCTCAGGTAAAATAGAGCAAAGCTCTGTGTTTTTTTTTTAAAGAATTTTTCCTACCTCATATATCCTGTCACTGGATAACTAGTCTAAACAGAACATTCGTCTTTGATACATATAATCTCTTCAGTGCATATTTAACTATTCAAATTTAGCTAACATACTATTTTTGCTAAAATATAAAGCAAAACAAGATCTCAGTCACAGCCACAAAATCTTTTTTAATGTATTCCTTGTGCTACTTCTGAATATTAATAAAAATTAATAATTAATTTTGCCTTTGGCATTGCAAGATATACTAGTTTTAATTAGTGTACTGTACTCCTATACAATTAAAAAATAATTGATGTCCACACTTATTGGCGGTCTCTGTGATCTCTTTTCCTGTTGTTGTCAACAAATGCCTCAAAAAACAAGTTCAAGAATGTTTTGCTGTCCACTTGATTTACACACCAAAAGTAACAGACAAATCTTTTATGATGAAACAGAACAGTTTTCTGTTTAAATTATACACAAGTATATTAACTAGAAAGAGAAAATTAAAAGCTGATGGCTCAAAGAAATAATGGAAAGACTATCAAAATGTTTAGTCTCCCAACATATTTGCCTGGAACGTATCAGTGGGTGACAGAGTATTTCAACTTAAAAGTAGTGGCCATCTTGTATTTGTTATGTCAATCCTATCTAGCATTTAATTTTGATGTCCCTCTTGATCAGTTCCAGTTATTTAAATTCAGCATATCATGTTACTGTTTTCCTACATCATACTAATTGTACTATGAACTACTTTATTATATAACACTAAAGTCGCTCTCATTCTGAAAAAATGAGTCAAAGAATTAAAGTATAAATACCCACAGGAGGAAACAAAAACACTTCCCTTCGTTGTATTTGCATCAGAAATCTTCAATAAATAGTTTTCTTTATTGCAACCATTAAAACAAAAATACTGATTCCCAGAGTGTAAATTCTCCAGCAGTTATGAAACACACACAAAAAAAATCATATGATAAAGGACAACTCAAACACAGCACTCCTTTAACCCAGAAGTTCCTGCTTGTTGCTTGAATCTAGGTCAAAAAGCGTACCCAGAAGAGACATTTTGGAGCATGACAAAAAGCTAACTAGAAATAGCTGAGCTTATTTTTTCACTATCGTAGTACTACACATACCTAACAGACTGTCATATGACAAGAGTTAGATAAACAAATAGAGTAAACAGAAGAACAGAAAGGAATTAGACATCAATGGAATAACAATGTACATTTTTTATTTCATCATCTAATCCGCATACTTATAGAGTCGTGAACATGAAAAATCATCAACTCAGATATTTATGCAATTAATGCTGCTATCATGATTAACGATCTCAGTGGTCATTTTAACTAAAACTGGATAGTAAATCAACTAACCTATTTAAATACATATCACTGAAGAACCGAGATCATTACAAAGTCCATTCTTATTTCTGAGGATTTTTCAAAGTTATTGCCCAACAACTTTTCTGGCACTAAGCACTAAGTCAATGGCTTGCCTCAGTTAAAGTAGATTCAGCTGGCTTCCGTTTATGCTTCAGACTGGAAGTAAGTCAGCCAGTAAAATCATTCTACAACTTCATCTGCACTTTCAGAAACAGACAGATGACCTATGGCTCCTGCCACTGTAACACAGGCACATACAGCTAATTTGTGGTAGGTGAACAGTTGCACTAGATGACTGCAGAGGTCTTTTCCAACCTTTATGATTCTAAGCATTGGATGGTTCCTTCCAAAAGCAGTACATATGCACACATGTATGCAAAAAGGCCATAGAAAGGCTAAGGTCAGTGTGAATGGAGAATTAGTGGGAACGTCTGGGTGTGGAAGCACTAAAGAAGAAAACATCAGGAAAGAGTCTCTCTTGAAAGGCCTCATATTAATCTACCAGCGTTGGAAGGCCATCCAGACCTATGAGAACTAATCCTCAAATTCACCACAGACTCTCCATGCTTCTCACAGCATACACCCTCATCTCCTCCATGTCATCTAACAGCCCTTTGCATGCTCTAGGAGAGCTCTGACCTAATCACAACCTTACATTCAAAGTTTTGAGATGCTGCTATGACAGGATGAAACTCCAAATGTTCCAACTGAAAACAGCTGCTCCACACCACTGCTGCAAAAAAAGTGCTCCAGCAGTTTCACTATGTGGATTTGAGCTAAAACAGAGCAAGTAAGGGCTATTGCTTACAATTGCTTAGAGCTCAGTAGTTAAATGGGCAGGGCCTGGAGTCTCGATGTGCATTTTATTAATTCTGGCTCCCCTGCTGAGCTCAGTTACAGCCACAGGTCACTGCAGAGCAAGTTTATCAGGCAGCACTTCAATGACATGAGTGGAAGTGAAGTCTTTTTAACAGATTCCTTGCTCTGCACTTCTAAAGTTCTTAAGAAATTTCAACTGACTAAAAGGTATTACAGGAAGAGGGACAAGAATCACTAGTTCGTGTACAACCAGCTAACCAATAGCTGAAACCTCATTCTATCTATCAATAATGTGGTAGGCCATAGAAACACTAATTCTGCTCATATAAAATTTTGTAGTACATGCAGACTTTTTAAACTTCCACAAATTTCCACCAATTTGAAATTTCAGTATTTACAAGCACTGTTTTTATTGCATTGAACTGGTTACAACTGGGACAAATCAGAACAATAACCCAATAGATAAATGAGCACTGACAATAAATTTCCCTTTTAACTTTCCTCATTACCCTTAGCTTAGGGTAGATAACGCAATAAATGAAACCCCAAGACAACTACTGCAGAAGGTCTCACTACTCCAGCCAGGGCTCCAGATGCTGACAGCTAAGAATTCTGAATGTAAAGTCCTTCCCTTCTCCTCATCATATATTTCTTCTCAACCCTTCCACAAAGACAGTCCTGAACAGGATGCTTTTGCCATTTTATTTATGTGAACTTTCATGACATGTCATGCACCACATTCATAGCAATCACTGACAGATAGTTAAGTTTCTAAGGGGTTACAGAAGAAACCATTTTCCACCAACTGTTCTCTTATATGCCAGGATAAAATATACCTCGTGGACTAAATCTTTTACCGCTTGTATCCTGCCAAAAAGTATGGGGTTTGTTTTCCAAATGAAATTCCATTAGCTATTCCTGAACTATGGCAGAATAACAATTCCAGCATTAAAAAAAAGTATCTAACCACAGGTAATTGAATTTGTCTCAATCTTGAGTTGTCTTCTGGAAACATGACATCAGAATAGACCATTTGCAACTGTATGATATGTCAGGGTCACAGAAGAAAATTTTCAGGGTGGCTGGGATGCTTTAAGCATGGATATCGTCTTTGTAGATGAACTCATACACCCATTAGCTCATATAGGTTACACTCTAATGAAAAGCCATCAGAACTCAGAAGTTATTCCAGAATTAATCATCACTTTTACATCACAATGTGCCTTTTCAGTATAAGTGCAGACGTAAAAACTAAAATTATTCAAACTAGATTAAGTGTAAAACAACATTATTTTATCTGTATATTTTTGTGATGTTATATAGTGGCTTTTTTTGTTGCTGTTGTCGCTGTTGTTTTGAACACTTCATCTATGCAACCACTGAGGAGTGAGAAATTTTATATTAATTTGGTGTAGATAATGAATGTAAATAGACCATGTATGTTTTCACCCAGGCATGGTAAGAAGCACTTTTCCTCTAAGTATTGAACACACAGCAAATTTAAGTTTTTTTATATGCTAGTACACTGAGTTTAAGCCCTGAACAACTGAGAAAAAATTAAAATTTTAGCCAGGCCATAGTAAAATCAAACCTTGTTGGTGTTTGTACTTCATCCTTCCAAAGGTATATTCAGCATTCCTATCCTCACAAACCAAGGAAGATCAAAGCTCATGATTTCCTTTATGGCTTACCTTAGTACTTCACAGTTTCTTTGCTGCAGAAACCATGCTGGGAGCAGGAAAAGAAAGACAGCAGCAGTCTGAGCTTCTGGAATAACCACTATAGATGACTCTAGGAAGAACAGAAAATACATGGGTAAGCTATCCTGCTTCCCAAATTCTGCTATGATCCCCTGTTCTCATAGCTTGGAAAGAAAACTGGATTTTCTCCAAGGCTAGACAGGTGGCAGGGAAATATTTTTTGGTTAATTACCTCAGAATGCTGGGAAAGGTGTGCTGCTACCTCATGTCTGCCTTGCGCTACCTCACACTGGTAATTAAGCTGATCAGTACTGGTACATCTACCCACCAATCAAAGCTGAATATGAGGGATATTTTGAGGAAACAAAGCATTAAACAGCATTGAATTAAGAGTTTGGGTAATCAAGATGGCACATGTTCCACTTGAAAAATAAGGTCAACCATTCCAAAAGAGGGACAGCTGGCATGCTGAAAGTCAATCTTAACAACAAGGATTGTGTTTCTTGCTTTAAGAGTCACAGTTGGGGCCTCCATGCAGGCTTGTAGCTAATGAGTTGATAATATCTCCTTCAGAAGAAGGGAAAAAGGCCACTACTCAAATTCTCCTTGATTCTTCTTTATTTGGGATGTTGGCAAATCCAAGTTGGCTTTAATATTTATATAATGACCAGTCTTCCCAGTGGTGGATTCAGTAACAAGCATGTTCAATCCAGTCTTAAATTAAACAGAGCTGTATAAGTAAAAAATTGGAGACTATGTAAGTGTGTGTGTTTATAGCATTGCAGAAATCTTACTTTTTCTGAATACTGGACCAATCCTTCTTATTGTGACATTCCTAAACACATCCAAATTTAAACGCTATTATTTTTAATGCACTATTTTCTGTAGGGAATACAGGAGCAAAGTTGATTTTGTATCATTAACAACAGAAAAGAGAGATTTTCTGCTATCAGTACCGCCAGAAAAAAATGCAGCCTCATAAATTTCTGTAAAGAACAGTATGAGATGCACTCTGTATTTCTTCACGAAAATAATGTGCTACGTTGTCAAATCCACAAAAATGTAAAAACAAGAACAAAGATGAAAAGTTAGTGAATCTTCTAATATTTTCTAAGGTAGGATCATTTTGCTCAAGCACAAGTATATGCCTGACACTTAATGCTTAATTTACCTGCAATTTGCTGCAAGTATTTGTGGAAGCATGTGTATGCATGCAAGTAGCCAATTTAGAGTCCGGGATTTGCAGTGAACTAGTTACATATTTTCAGTCATTTTTACTATACTCTCTATCCATAACATGAATTAATTACTGCACCAAATTAGGCACACAATTAAGCATGCAGGCTTTTATAAAACTATCCCTTAACTTCACTTTATCTGAGTAGCCTAGCTTTACAGATAACTTACTATGCAAGATATTTCTAGAAACAGGCTGCTTCAGCATACTGGGCCCAAAAATTTAACTGCAGAAGACCTTAAGAGTAATAATCAGTATTAATTGTACTATTCATGGGAATTTTTAAAACATAAATCAAACTAATAGATTGCACAATTTATAAACTAGTACTCCCAACAAACTTTATTCCAGATAAATAATTGCTTACACTGCTCTTTAAAGACACATTCCTGCCAAGTCTGAGTTAGACTCAAACCTAAAAATAAGTAACTTTAGAATTTGCTGAATTCAGATTTTTTTTTTTTTTAATGCTACAAAAGTAATGAAAGTGTAAAGATGGCATGCTGATATTGGAGTCCAATTCTGACCAGCAAAGGTGATACAGCTTGAAATGCTTCTAGACTGATCTTCTAAAAAAAAATGAACAATACAATGAAATACATTATACGAGGTCATTAAGCCTATTAAAGTCATTCATCAAACAGAAAACAGATCTTTTGATTTTCAGGGAAATACTGAGACTCCAAACATCCCTCTGCAATCCCTTTCATCATTTCAGTAATTTTCAACATGAGTCCGTTCTCATCTGAGTCCGCAGTCTGCTCCTCCTCCTCCTCCCCCACTTCTCCTCTAATAGTGTTCAGAGAGAACTTCAAGATGTGGGCTAATGGAGCTGGCATGGGTTGGAGTTTAATATTGCATGTGCTTAACTTTTTGTGCAACTGACCAACATGACATGTCTAACTGTATAAATGGAAGTTTTATGGTGATAAGATCAGTAGTTACTGAGATATTTATGTGACATGCTGACAGATATAAAACTACAAAGCTTGCTTTTATGCCTTACATCCTCTAGAAAAAAAAATAAATACTAAGATGATGGGTCACTTTGAAGAGAATTTATTATCTAAATTACCTAATACCTGGCTAAGTTCTAATATGCAAGATGAAGTCTCAAAAATGCTATTAAAACTATGAACTTTAATTTCAGGAGATCTCAGTATTCTCTGCCAAATGGGGCACGGTACAGCCAGTTTGCTTGTCTCACTCTGTCTCTAGATCATGGTGCTGTCATACAACCAAAAAGGAGAATGATGACAAAAAACAGAAAAGGCACAAGATAATCTCTCTCCCATTTTTACACTATGTAGGTTTAGGTCTCAGGGAGATTCTCATCGCTGCTGGGTGGAGGAGTAAGATTATCTCCTGAGAGAAGGTCAAGATTAAAGAAAATACATTATTCTTGTGTGTGTATAAGTATACACACATATATAAATATAATCTCTGGATGAAATGATGGAGTCTCTTTTACATTTTGATCTGGGAAAACCAGCCCCAGAAATTCTTTCAGAAGATGCCGACATTTCCTGCTGCTAAAAAGCAGCTCTCCCCCAGGCTGTGCCCACTGCTGGAGCTAAAAGCCAGCTCCACCTCCTCTATCTGATGTGAATGTTAGTTCACACACTGAGAAGGTGGGCAGCTGCAGCAGTCAGCACAAGGAACAGCCTGGTGGCAGCAAAGAGGGGAGAAAAAGAAAGACAAATATTAAAACAAGAATTTATTATTGTTTTTACTTTTTTAAGTGAGGGAAATTTGTAGGCAAACATAAGAAAAGAAAACATAGGAAAAGAAAACTTCACTTCAGGAGACACAAATATCAGGCAGCGTACAAAAAATTCTGACCCTGAAAACAGTATAATGCAGAGAACAAAGGAATAAGCAGATCAAGGGAAATTGGAAACTAAGTGGGTTGCTCCAAAAGTAATGCCTCATGTTTATTTCCATGGGAACTACAACAGATACAAAGAGCACAATAACACTATTTGATAAAGCAAATTCTCAACTACTAAACACAGTTTTTCAGCATAGTCACCACCATTATCTGTGCATTTTCATTAGCATGCCACACTCGTAAACAAGTCTGCACTGGCAGAGGTGACACACTGTTGCTGTCACCGCCATTGAAATGCATCACCCACCACTTCACCATGCTGAAATCCAACTGTTTGGTCTTCACAAGCGTTCAAGAAGCATAAGTAAATGCCAGTGTGTGCCATTTTTTTCCACATAAAGGAATTCAGTTACACTCCTTTCCTACATCCCCACTCCCATATCAGGCACCATGCTGACAGACTGGCCCCCTGCTGGATCTGTAGCACAGCAACAAAATGAAATTGAATATTGGTGGGAAGGTTCAGCCTCTGCTGCCATACCACGAACAATCGCTTACATCATAGGCCAACATAATAAAATAGGAGGCATTACTTTTGGATCAGCCCTTGTACTTCACTGTGCTGTTCCTTTCCCATGGGCTCAGACCCTTCAACATCAGAGAGAGGATGTTCAGTGTCTTTCATCTCCATCTGAGATTCCAGTGGGAGACAGCACACATCTCACCACCCCCTTCCTCACTTCTGTTTCTCCAGCCTGCCTCTGCTCTTCTGTGAAACGTCAGGTAGAAAGGCATAAAAACAGCTCTCAAATCTAAATTAGGGTTTGGAATCAAGTAACAGAAGAGCACTGAGTATCCCTACTACAAATGCAGGGGACCACTGTGTCGGCATGTGAAAACTCAGGCTTTGCCATTTAGAATTTCTATGTTGGAAAGGGAGTGCTGGATCTTTTGGGGAGGATAAGCTTCTCAGTCTCATTACCAATACAGTATATCTGGCATCTTTTTGTATCAGTTTCTTTTATCTGCAGCATCTAGAAGCTCAGACAGAATTACTCCTCCATCTCTAAAGTACTTGTGCTTATAGTTGGAAGAGTGAAATGAAAATTTTCATGAGATGTTTTAGACCTTGTTTAAAAATTAACAGTGTCCAATGGCAAATCCTCATCAATCTCAAAACACTTTTCAGAAGACCTTGTTAACAAGAGGTCTTGTTAACTCTCTGCAATGAATTTTCTGGCACCATCATTTTAAGTTTATTTTGGGTACTGTTAGAGAGAGCTTGCTGGTTGTGCCAACTGACCATGATGATTAATATAATAAACCAAGATTCCTAACAACTCCTCATGTGTCAAGTCAGTGAGCAGGAATATGTCAACTCCTTTGTTTTCAGCTGATGTGTCCACCCAGGTCTGGTTGCTCAGATATTGCTGCCTCACATACACACAAGCATTTAGATAGAACAGAGTCAAATTTAATAGTTGCAAGATAGCTTCATATTTCAATTCAACCAAAAATACTAAATATGTCATTCAATATTTGTTGGGTCTTCAAGACCCCATCACCAATCAAACCACAAAATCTGGTGGCTCTGTTTACCTCTAAAAACAAGAATAGCTATATTCTTATATATAGCTATATAAACTGAAACCCAATCTCACAATATAAAGTCACAGAAATACTGTACTGCTGTCATTGGAGATATGTTGGTGTAAAGATAAGCAGAATCAGAACAGTAGCACTAGCTATATGACACACTTAAATACTGTGGGTTAAAATGATGTACTGAATAAGAAAACAGAATGATATACTGAATAAAAACTAGCTAAACATGCAAACAACAAATCCCCAACCAAACAGAAACCATTTTCCATTTTTCTCTCCTATCCATCACCTTTGCTGCTCATTTCACAGTGACAGTCTTGCTGCCTTAAAACAGTTTTGCAGTTTTGCCAGACAACAGTCTGTTACAGTATACGTAAATGTGATCTTGTTTTGGGGACATTAAGGATGCATGTGACAAAAGAGTAGCAGCATATCAGACACGAATTAAAATCCGTTACTGTATTTTAGTTCATTGATCTACTTTAAGCTTCTCAGTGTTGTCTAATTTAAATAAAACTTCAATTTGTAACAATACTATAAATAGAAGGTAATATTGATCAGAGTGCCACCAGCCTGCTGAACTTTTGTTATCACTGAAGCCTGACCAGTTAATGTTGAATGTTACAATTTATTACTCTGCAAAGTACAATACAACACAATAGCACTTAGATTTATAAACAAAGATATGCTGAAATACTGAAAGCAAATTTAGTCAGCCCAGAATAAGAAGAGTGTTCTGATTTATGGGTGCTTCACAGCGCTATTTCCCTACCTGGGGCAATATTTCATTACTTCTCTGATACAAACACCTGTTAACACTGCTGAAAGACTGAAGAATCTGATTTCTTTTAGGCTCTTTTAAACCCTTAGCAGAACATATGATGTCCATCAGCAAACATTCATCACCAATGTGGTAGATTTTTTGAGCTTTGGAGGATCATTACCAGTTAAGATGGGTAAATGATATCCTAGGAGACAGAACCTTCCTGATAAATAGAAGTAGGTACCCAGCCAGTCGCCTTCTATAACCTTCTTCTCTTTCACAAAATAAAAACTAAAGTAAACATGTTTTTTTAAAAAAAAAAGAAAAGAAAAAAAAAAAAGGCATATTTAGGGTTAAATTCCACGTATAACAGCTATTCTCAGGCAGCAAGCAATAATCTAAACAAAATCTAACATTTTCTCATCATCTAAACAAAAAATATTTAATGACAGGCCTTCTTTTACTCCTGAAGGTGAATTGGTTAAGGAAAATTGCTGGTGTGTCTTAAGGCATGTCCCTGCATTAACCACCCAGGAGGGCAGTGATGCCGCTTCCCACAAGCTACATACAAATCTTTAGCTGAACATGCAGAAAAAAAGGCTCACAATGGTCTCCTCTTGAAGAGTAAGGCCACTGAGATGGCCTTCAAGAGAAAAAGGCATAATGGCAAAAAGGAACTTGGGTTTTGCTCCAGTCTAGAGGAAGAACAACTAGACAAAGGCCTCTGTTCTCAAGCAAGGTCTCTTAACCAACTTAGTCATTACAGGACAGATCTATTCACTAATCAGCAACTTCTCTTTTTCTCTTTAACCAACAGCTCAGCTCTTTAGCTCCTAAACTGAGCAGAAGAGCCACACGCAGAGCACTGATGCCCCTCTTATTTGAACTAGAAAACACTAATGTAAATAAAGTGATATTAACATGCAATATCTGGGAGACATTTTTCTCTGCAGAGCTCAATGTCTATTAGGCTTCAGCCAAAACAAAGGTCAACAGGCAGTAGGACCCTTCTATTCTTTTTCTTTAACAGGGAATATTCTATTCAATGCTTTCAAAGTAGGAGATTCCTTTTTTTTTTTTTTTTAAATTGGGAACTGTAACTAAAACACTGCTATTATGGAAACAATACTGGTTTTTGTTTTCATTTTTAATTTTCCTTAATAAAAACAAGATCTTAGTATCAAATGATTTCTTAAATTTCACTTTGAATAATCCCCTAGATAAAAACATATTGTAACCATGAATTTCCCAAGTTCACAATCCTTACTTTCATAATTCTCCCAGCCAAGGAACTTACATAACAAAATTTTTTATCTTTGCAAATCACCATAACAGTACAAAGTGTGATTTTTTACATAAACTGTTGCAAACATGCCAGAAATAAATTCAAATTCAAGTTTAAATAAATTTGTAATTAATATTCACTAAGTAAAATACAATATGATTCAAACTGTTGCAAGAAAATTTGCAAACAGAAAAGAGGATATATTTACAGGGTATTTTATTCAATAAAAAGTATTCACACCAACCAAATCAAAAGTTTTGGCTTTTACATCCCCTTTTTACTTTTGCAGCTGTCAGGTTCTGGTCTGAATATCACATTTGTTGACACCTTCTGCCAAAGTCTTATTTAGTTTATGGATCCACAACTGGACAGAGGGAAAAAGGGAGGCTTCAGACAGGCTGAAAGATAGACAAGAGCACAGTTGAATAAAGCCAGATCAGGTGAAGAGGAAATGAGATCTGGAAAAAATCAAAAGGCAGGAGGCCTAGGAAAGGACAAGAGCACATATGGGAGAGGATTTGCAGATTGAAGGATATAATAAGGGAGAATGGCAGCTAAGAGACAATGAAATCAGCAAACAGATGAAAGGAAAAAGGACAAGGAAAAAAGAAAAGACAAGGAACAAAAAATAAAGTTCAAAAGTGCTAGAAATAGAGCAGAAGATATTTAACAGAGAACCAGACAGAGAAAGTGAGGGGAAGATACATAATGGAAAATTAAAGGTTCCATTATGAAAAGAAGTCCCTATACCATTCCACTTCAGGATTCCACATCAGGAAGCTATATTTCTTTTTCTTTTTTTTTTTTTTCATTCTCTGTAAGACAGTCCAATATTTGGAATCATTTCAATGCAAGGGCAAAGCTGGTTATAAAAAGAATGTATAGCTGAACCTCCTGTACACTGCTAATGCTAATGATATCCATATTAAACAGTCCGACAAGTACTAACCAGAGTTGTCCTCTCCACTTCTCTGTATATAAACAGAAAGAATTCCATGCGGCAAATAAACACCTCTTGCCATCTGCTGAGAAGCAGCGCTAAGAGTCTTTAAGAGTTCTTTTAATGAAAATCTTTCCAGAGATTCATGGTACATAACATGATCCATCAATGTTGCAGTTTTGCAGTCCTTATTAGAATAGAGACATATGACATGCGGTAGATTCTTTGCCTCCTAAGACCTACGTATGAATTACTGAACACTATAAAAATGCATATTAATTTCTATAATATTTATTAAAAAAAAAAAGCAAACAAACATGCAGGTAGCATGGGCTACTGTATTTGTATGTTAATGCAAAAGCTCATATATTTCAAATGCTTAGTGCAGTACCTCTGAATCCAACGCACCTAAAACAAGGTTGCCTTCCTCTGTACTTTCCTAGTAAAAAGTAGAAATAGCAATAAGTAAAAAATCGTTCTAAGCGCTTATTTTCATTTGAGAAAGAAAGTGGCCTACAACAGTATAAACTCACTTGTTCTGGGTCTTCTATGGGTACAGCTGTACCATCCATAATAATAACCACTCACTAAGTGATGACACCAGTATACAGTATCTGAAATGTCTGGGCATGAGACATGTAATGGAAAACCATCTCTCATAAATAAAAACAGCCAAGAATATATCAAAAAGAAAGAAATGGGTGAATATTTAGATAGTGTTATATCTGCCCAATATGTTAACATAAGTAACAATATCCATTGAGCATGTGCCAAACTGATCAGTTCCTGACTTTGAGTTCTTTAGGGATTATGATTTTGGAGGTATTTTGATGTATATTTGTTTTTAAAGGAAAGCCCCTGTTCATTCTTGGTGTATTATTATTATTATTATTATTTACTAGTCACATGTTAGGAATCCCTGAAAAAGAGGTGTTTTTAATTGAACGGCTGACAATCCCTTAAGTGTAGTGCTGTGAATGATGGCACCTTGATCATAGCTGGAAAAAACAGTCAGCGTGATATAAGCTACTGAACTAAGTTGTAAAATGACAAGGACTGAGTGAACAGTTTTTAATACAGATAATATTGTTCATGCAGTCCATAAATATAGAATTAAATGTTGACCTCTATCTCCCATGTCAAAAGTCAAAGTCAGTGTCAGCACATATTGTTTTTATTTGTTTCAAGAGAAAAATAGATCAACAACATTAACCTCACAATGAACAGAGAATTGAATGAATTAAAAAGCAGTACCCCATAAATCCCTTTCCTTTTATTGGCACAGTGATAAAAATGCCTAGGGCTTAGAGGAAAAGGGTAGTCTCAGACAGTAGTCTGAGATGCTCTACGTACACAGAGCTGTACATCACAAGCTAAAACAGAAGAACAGAGATATTAAGATTTGTACAGTCTCATATAATACACAATATCCATCAAATCGCGTCATAGCATCCCGCAAAACAGGCCATGTCAGATATCCCTAAAACAAGGAAGGTATCGCAAGGTTCTTTTAAAGCAACATTACCTCCGACCTGCCTTTTGAAGATGCACTTCGTAAAACAGATTAAAGATGCAGAAAAGGATTTCATTCAATACTCTCCATGCTTGCAGCATCCAACTAATTCAAGACACCACCTGGAAAAGATCTCATTGTGTTTAGAGAGTTACAAGCTTCATTGTTTGGGTTTCTCTTCAAATCAGTAGCTCATTGTGATAGAACTGAGAGATCTGACATTTTTCCCCTGTTTAAAAAGTAATTTTTTCCAAAACACCTCACAATAATAAAGGCCTTGATTTCACAATGCAACAGCAAATTTGACAGTTAACTAAAATGAGCAGTTTCCATTGCAAATTCAGTTTAATTGCAATTTTTAGTGCTGCATAATTAAACTGAAAATGTTCTGAAAAATTCACACGGTCAAAACTAGGACAGAAACAAAAAAGCATTTCCACAATGGTTTAGGATTTTCTAGTCAGATCTTAGAGAAACAGACAAAAAGTTACATTTAAAAACAAATCAGTTAAACGCAAGAGAAGGAATGGCATCATCTGAAAAATTCAGCTCGTAGTTTCTGTTTACTTTTTCTTATCCTCCTGCAGCTTGTAGGATATACAGAAATTCTTTTGGTTTAATGCTCCAATGATTATCTGCTGGCAATATTGCATCATGTGAAAAACATTTTACAGTATTTGCACTGCACACTGAACTCACAAAAGCAACTAACTGCAACGTTTGTCAAACCTGGAGCATGTTTTCTGGCAGCTGACTGGAACCAAACACTGCTTTTGTTCTTGAAACGGACCGGCTGACTTTGAGTTTCATCGATATAGCATAAGCTTGGAGGGTAATCTTGACTCATGCATACTGCTGAAGTTAATCTATATCTTAGAAAATGCCAGTGAGAAAAGCCTTCTCATGCTGAACGTTCACAGGGCTTGAAAGAATTTTACAGCTGGCTATAAAGAGCAACTTTTCTGCTCCACATGTATTCATGCAGCTTCTGGGCAGAACCAGTCATGGTGCTTTTCATAGCTGGGTGATCAGAAGGCTTCTCTGTAACTTCTAGTAAAGAAGCAAAGACATGTATTTTATTATACTAAAGGATTATGGTGTGTAGGGCAACACTGAACAGCTGTGTGGAGCAAGTCACTTCAGGTCTTGCTGAAATCATAAATGTGAAGTCAGTCTCACGTAAACAAACACAGCCCAGGCTGGGTAGATTCTTTCTAGGGCTGACAGTTGGTAAAGTTAACTGCAATCTTGGTTTGGAAAGATCTGATTTGAGAAATACTGTGGACTGCACAGAAAAAAAGGGTGATGGGTTTGTTACAACATTACAACACTAACAGGATGCCATGGACAAGCTTCAACTTGCAACATCGAAAAATACTGTAAGATATGAACAGGAAATATAAACAGATGGGCATGGTTGATACTAACTGATAAAAAACATTGTTTATTTCTAAGTAAGAGTGTCCCAACTCGGAACTAATTACAATTTAGTAAACTCAGCAATCGGTCTTGTGACGTGCATTTCCTGTTTGTCATCCTCTCCCAGATATTTGAAAGCTTTCTACTATCAGCCATGTAGAAAGAATTCTTTCTCCAAAAATCACCCAAGTTTGGCACCAAACGTAGTGTGAAACACTGCACAGATATAGGACCTGGCATAAATTAGTCAGCTCAGGTCTCAGTGTAGATGGTATTATGCATTATAGATTGCATATCTGGATGTTAGGATGTTCGGCATGTCTGTGGTTTTCAGCAACAGTTCTTATTCAGTTTTGAAATATCTGCATACCTATCAGTCTGGCATTAAGCTCACATAGCCTTTTTTTATAACAAATTATCAATGTTAAGTAACAACATTGAAAAAATTAAAGGCATATTCAGTTTATGCAAGGATTTTTCCTTAAATTTGGGGAATTTATAAAAAGAAACATTGTTCACATAATTATTATTATCATCATGTAACATATTGCATTAATATATTATTATTATTCATTAATATATTCATATATTAAATATATTTTCATTGTTATAACTACATTCTTATAAATACTAGTGAAATTCAGAGAACTTCAGCTATTTGAAATTTTCATTTGAATTCTAAAACCTCATGCATATTTAGCATGCTGATTCCATGTACGGAGAAACAAACTTGCAGATGAGTACTGAAATCATCATTAGTTAAAATTCTCTGATATAAGCAAGATTTAGCCTCTACTTTCTAAACTGTAGACAGCATCCATAAGCTTTTACTTCTCATTACAAACAATCCACTCTTAGCTGGGGTTCAGATTGCATGTATTCAGCCTCCCTACAGATACAAAATTTCTACGGATTTCTATCAAAAAGCTATCACTGGTAACAGAAAAAAACAAAAATACACCATGGCAAAATGCATTCAGCCAATTGGATGTAGAAGTACTAAAACCTGCAACACCGGTTGCAAAATAAATACTCAGAAGTATTTACTGAAGTTTATTTTCTTGAAACCGCATTTGTCTGAGAGAGACAACTTTTTTTCTATTCATGTGCAATAGATGTAATTATTGATTTTTCTGGCATGCTCCTAACATCCTAAACACCACACCTTTGAACGAATTGTTCTGTTGTTTGAGTTTGGTTTTTGTTTGTTTGTTTTGTGTTTTGTTTTGTTTTGTTTTTTTAATGAAAATAATAGCCATATAATATGAAGTTAACACAGACCAATATAAAATGTTATAAGGCTATAAAGAACTTATTGCTAGAGAAATAGAATTAATAGAATGAATTATGCACAGTATTTTAACATCTGGATTTGCAGAAACAGCTTTAGCACCTTCCACACTTGTCCCTACAAATGTGCTCTTACTGTCAGTATTTGGACCAATTTGAAGATGAATGAGGACAACCATGGAGCTACGTACATTACTCAAAAACAGATACATGCCCCATAATATCATGAAAAACTAAATAAGGGCACAAACGTGCTAATAAAGGAAGCAGTGGGATTCCTTAGATTCTATGGTGAGCAAACCAATTCAGAATTCATCCTTCTCATTCAGGCTATAGCACATTTCTGGGATCTAGTTTACTAGAAATTGCCTAGGGGAAAAGAAAGGGAATCTAGAGTAACAAGAAAGTGCCAAAATGAATAAAGTGCTCACAACTACTATTGCATTGCTGATGCTGGAAACAGAAGAGGCCAGGGTTTTGTCACAGTTCTGATATCCCCAAAGGTTGCTGCTACATTATTTCTGCTCCTTCAGTGCAATCTGTAAAAATCACAAATGTACATTACCTAATGTACTGAAAAACCAAAGATTTTTATTATTATTATATCTTTTACCCATTGATGGTTGCAAATTAGTGAAGTGACACAAGACTGAAGGCAATGACTACTGCTATCTGTAAGCAACAACAAGCAAGGAAAAGCTGGTAGGAGTACAGCTGTTTTATTTTAATTGAGGAATGATTTTATGTTGGAAGCACTCAATATTCACAGCAAATTAAAAATAATGAAGTGAATTGATATCAATGATATTTTTTTACCTACTATCCCTTTGTAAATCTATTTCTTCACACAAATTGACATGTCTAATTGATACGTACGCTATTATTCCTCATTAGTAGGCTGAATAAAATAATTCTTGATTAAATTTATTGCAATTTACAATCCAGCATAATGTTTGCAAGCTATAAAAGTCAATCAACAGGAAACAGAAAAAAAAAAAAAAAAAAAAAAAAAAAAGCAGATGACATTATTACTTCTTATATATACACAGTAATTTCATGGAACCTTCCTTAGCTTTATCTTTTCTCCCCAGGAACCCAAGGTCCATCTCCAACAGGTCACTTCCTTTTTCACATGAACATAAATGTATTTCAGTGTGCAAATTCCTCTCAGCTTTTTGTAAATATCACCTCCAATAAGTAAATTAGCTGTGTATTTAGCAATCTGTTAGAAGTTGCGTGGAAGAGATGGTCTTCTACTAACACTCAGATGAAACTAGACAGAACAACAGATGATGTCCACTAACTGATTTGCTTCTTTGTCAGGATTATCTAGTTTGAATTATACGCTGTTATCCTTTTTACACACACACACACACACAAAAGAGAAAAAAAAGAAAAAGAAAGAAAAAAACAAGGAAATTGCAGAAATTCAGTAATTTGATGTAACAAAAAAAGTCGGTGGAACAAGAATTTGACAATATATATTCTGTTTAATGCAAAATTTCCAACCAGAAGGAAAAGCGAATCAATGGCAGGTCGGTCTATCTTTGTATTTGGAACTCATTCCTCATCTTGCCCAGACCTCCACTATTTTGTAGGAAATTCCGCAGTATTACGAAACAAGCAGAGGCAGAGCTGCTATTTTGTTACTCTCTTCTCTAATGGGAAGAAAGGTATGTTGTGACCTGACCATTTCTCTGGCCTGTTGCTCCTATTTCTCTGAAGAATGCTGCCAGCTGGCGCAAAATTGCTGCCATCACTTAAGTTGGGCTTCAGACTTGAGAAACAGAAAGTTACATGAAAACACAGTTTATATGCTACATTTTGTACAAAATAACCATCCTACTTTTGTCATCTTAATATAATGTCTTTTAAGGAAGACATTATGATACCTTGATAGTGTCTGTACCCTGACTGCAGCCTGTGCCTCAAGTTATCCAGATAAGTTGAAAGAATTTGCTCAAAGAATTGGGTATTACTCTGTCGGACTATAGAATCAGAATTAAAAATCAGACTATATGCTTTTCATATGTATTGCATACATATCACGCTCTCCCCTAAAACATGTATTAAAATCTTCAAAAAATTACTTTCTGCTTCAAATCTAAGTTCAATTTATAGAATTGTTTGGGGTAGCTGACATCTAAAAGGTAAAACAGTAAACACACAGGCCTGCACAGGGAACTAAAATTGAGATATATAAAGTTGCAACATAGGAATCCCATTCAGAAAGCAATTTTATTTATTGTTCAGATATTTTAGATTCAGAATTCAATTTTTATGCAACATGCCTGATTTACTTATTTATTTATTTCACAAGGCAATGCCTATCAGTTCATGAATGCTGCTGACATTTTAAAAATAATCCTTACAGTACAGAAAATAAGATGAGAACTTAATCAACAAAACCAGCTGTTTCAGGATTCATTTCCTACTTGATACATATTGTAGAGCACGGTAAACAACTCATCTGCCAGCAGTAAGAATCAAAAAGCTCTGTGCCAACTGATCATCTCTTAAAGGATTCTTCAAAGTGGCCACAAAAACAGTCCTCAGAAGTAAGAACAGTTTTGCTGGTATTCCTGGTAGGATGTGGTGTTTCAGATAAAGAGCTGTCACCAAGTACTGCACAGCATTGCAAAGAATAGCTTACCATTATGGTCACTAAAACTATTTCCAACTACTATGCTATCTGCAACAGAGCAAAAGTAACCAGGAGCTATATCCACCTCCAAGCCTTATTTAAATTGAAATCTAAAATACATATTCTCTGCATTGCATTTAGCTTCTGCTGTCAGAGGTAGGTCATTTGTTAAAACTTCCCAGCCTATTTACTGCACAATATTTTAAAAATGGCATGCAAGCTCTACTCACTCCTTCAGATTCAGGATGTCTACCCTAGGTCTAACCATACCCAGAGAGGTTAACGGCTGAAAGGCCAGCTGCCAACAGTTGGGCAGCAGACAATCAGCTCTGGGCCCCAAAGCCAGGTCATCGGCAATCAGCTCCCCAGAGAAATCAGGGCTGTGAGGGCAGAGCGCTCACCCTGTGCTGTGCATGGCATGGAAAACAAGGCAGTGCAGGGCTGTGCGATGCACTGACTCCAAGGGAATAACAGGGGCTTATGGGCTGAATACATTACAGACCAGCATGAGTTCTGAGGATATTAATAGGGCAGGCCAGCCCCATAGCTGCCATTGTGACCACTGCCACATAGCCACAAAACTGACTTCCATATTTCCACAAGCATTATTTTGTAATTTCTTTTAATCTCAGAATAGCACATTAAGGAAAACATGATGGAAAAGACCATGAGCAGCCTTAAACACACTATTTTCATTCAGCTCTAACAAACTCAATAGGAAGACTATTTTATAAATGAGCACAACAAATTGAAATTCAATAGCTAGTTAACTCAAGCATATTGAAATAAAATTATATGTATCTGTGTGTGAGGGAACAAGCGTGTAGTGAGGGAGGACCTACAAACCTCACGTATGAGCTGCTCTTGTTATCATAAAGTTTGGGTAAGTAAGGCGTGTAGAATCACAACTAAAATACAAGGATATTCTGCTTAACAGTGTTATCAGCTGTAAATATAAAAACCAAAACATCCATAACAGCCTTTAATGACATTTGAAATATAAAAGAACAAAACTTTACTCACCTTATTATATTCACTTCAGCTTATTATATTCACCATCCAAGAAGATAAACATATTGTCCACTTGAGTCTATACCAAAAGGAAACACACGTTAATATCTGTGATTTGATACACATTCCAAATGCAAGAAGTAACAAATTTGGTGGCAAAGCTGTCAAAATATGTTCCACAAACACACTGGCAAGAGATCTGGACAAACTAAGGAAATTCAGTGAAACAAAATAGGTGCCAAATGGGGATGTTTGACAGAGTGTTCAAAAATACAGTTAGACCAAAGCAGGAACACATCCAACAGATAGATTCTCTACATAAATTATCATAAAACTATTAGAAATAATTGGCCAGTGATTTCAAAATATTACATATACTTTTAATGTTATCAAAGAGCTGTGTTGTGAACCATGTGTGTTTTCTTGGCGATTTAATTTTTGGCTTCAAAACAGCCTTTTTAGATGCAAGTGAAAATACTATATCCCATACTGTAAGTCAATCTGCAGTCTTTGAAATCATGCTGAGCTTCCAAACACTTTGAAACATTGCAAGGGAAAATATTATAAAAGTCTGAGTACCCTGTAAGAGCGCAGGCCTTGCAGGAGCTTGGCCAGACAGATGCATCCCTACAAGACTGCAGAGAGCCAACATAGCAAAGGCACCATGATCGAGCTCTCCAAGAGGACAGTGGTATCTGTAGTCACATCACCCCAAATAACGACTTCTGTGAAAGCAGTAGTCCCTTCAGCTTCTGTTACAGTGCCAGCACAAGCTGCTGCACTGCTAAGTCACGACTGAAGGTAGATGGGTACAGGAGGACATGAGGACTCTATCAAGAACAGGTCAGTTTATACGCAGTGCTGTATTACAGCCATTCTTTGATAAAATAAGGGCAATGAAACGTATGCAGACAGCTGTTTGTAGCAATACATGGCTGCCAGGCTGGTCATGGTACTGAGTGAGCGGCTGCTGCCCACAGAGCGCCCATCCACCTACAGCACAAACCTGGCATGCAAATTACTGTTGTTTAATGGCTCTCCATAAAAATACACCTTAAAATATCAGAGCAGGCCACTGCATGCTGGTCGTAAAGGGAACAAAGAGAGGCCAGGCAGCATACATTCATAGAAGACAGTGCTTCTTTTCAAATTATTTCTTTTCATTTGGCCAACAAAAAAGTGGACTACCAAGCAGTAGTGCTCTCAGTGCAGATAGAGCATCGGTGCTCAACAGCAATGTTAGCAGCAGCATGCATGCCAGCTACACCCTTACACCATAGGGCTATGCTTTTGGAGGCATTTTCTAGTGCCTGCACAGATCAAGTTGAAAGCTTAAGGTCCAGAGTATCTGGGGTTAAAATCCACACTCGTTGACTTCACCACTGCCTATTATAATTCACAAAGGTTTCAATACTGCACTGATAGGGAACTCCTATTGGAGCAGTAATCTGAGGAAAATATTTGCCATATGTTTGTTCTCTCAAAAAAATTCTGTATACTCTTCATGAAATTCTCTCATTGTCATGCAAGACCAAAGAAATGCCCCCTGAACTTGAGGAAGCACAAAGTCAGATTAGTGGTAGTCCTTTATGCGTGGCAAGCTCCTTCCTTACCATTGAAACTAGCCTGTGAGAAAGCCCTGTCCTGCACAGACAGGCTTCTTCGTAGTGCAGAAAGATCAATTTTCCTGAAGAAAAAGAAAAAAAATGTGAAAATGACACAGAGATATAGCTTAAATAGGCTGCAACTCATTTATTCAACTGCACTGAGAAATTTCCAGACAAGCCATTTCCAGCACAAGTTATTATTTCTCCTCATTCATTCTGACACCCCAAGGTCTGGCTGCTCCCACTCCCCAGGGCTGCCCATGCTGTCCCCAGCCTGGCAGAGACTGGCAGTGGGGTGGAGAAAGAAGCCCAGAAGTTCAAGGCTTTGTTTCTGGGCAAAGTATTCCATTTTTATTCCGTTCCTTAAAAGGGCAAAACTAGCAGAGATGCACTTCATATTTATAATTGTAAGCTTCATTCTGGCAAAGGGTCATCTCTTTTTACCTTTGACTATAATTGTTGGTATTGGTTATAGAGCATTAAGACTTTTTTGCTGGCTGGACAAATGCATTTGCAAAAAAAATTTCTATAAACAACACCGACTAACTTACTTAACAGTCACGTTTTTTCTGCTCTGTGAGCTCTTCAAATTTAATATCTTGTTAAGCAGTATTAACTTTTAAGTTGCAGTAAAATCTAATAATTGTATTTATCAAATTGTGTTAATTACCAAGCAGAGATAAGCATATGTCCTCTTCAGCCTGGGAAAATCTGAGTGCACACCTGCTCCAAGAAACAGTCTTTAAAATGAGACATGAGGAAAATATTTGAATTACATTTCCCTCTTCCAACACACCATTTTTAAAAAGCACTTTCAGCACTGAACTAGGCCTTTACAGTTAAGGCATTTTACAAGATGATACTGAGCTATGTTTCCTGTCTATGAAGAAGGCACCAGCATATAAAATGGTAGTGAATTTGCATTACCTCCAATCCATCATTCTTTGAGTGCGCAGGAAAAACTGTGAGACCTGCTGCAACAAAGCACAGCCTTGTGTTGACAGATTCTTATTTAAGTGACTGTGAATACAACAATTCCACAAATAATTTGTCAAGTGTGTGGCTGAACTAGCTCTGAACCCTGATAAATACCAACTCTCCTCACTGCTACAAAGGCATGATGTTCCGCGTGCGGGCAGTGAGTAACAAGCACCAGGATTTAACAATCGATGCTACTATATTTCTCTTTTCTTTGCGGTTAAAAAAACCTTGAAGGGTGGCACTTTCAGCAGTGTTAAGTACTAGTGGTGGCTATGCCTTGCAAATCTAAGTAATACACTGCAGGCTGAGGTGGAAGGAAACAGCGTGCCACAACCATTTTTAGCTGCATTTAAAACATATGGTTTACTCTGCTGAAAAACAGACTTTGCTGAATAGTTGGCAGATTCTTGTTTAATATAGGCTATTATTAAGTGGACCTCTTTCAAATTATGATAATAGGACACCTACTTTGCTGAATTTCACGTCCTAAGGCATACGCTTGTGCTGGGTAATTCAAGAGAGCTGGCTCTTTTCAGGAAAAATAACACAAATACTAGTTGAACACGTCTACATATTAATGGGGGGGAAACACTCCTTCCAGGTATTCAGTTGAAATCAAGATTACATTTTTCTACCATGCAGTGTGTTCTATAAAGGCATTATGGATGTGTAAGGAAAAAAAAACCCACAACGAAACATTTTTAAAAACATGTAAACCTAATCAGTCTAGAAGTCAGCAATGCATATATAAAAGTCTCTTGCAGACATAATTTAGTATGCATTATTAATTTATTTTTCATAAAGCTCTCCAGCTACAAAAAGGATAAGTGGAAGTGTTCACCCATGTTGCTGATAATACTCATTTGTTAGGCAGGGGTGAACGTATTAACAAATTTCCCCTTCCTGAAATCTCATCCTGAAGGATGTTCTCAGAATCTTCATATAAAGACAGGGAATGCCCTTTGCAAACAGTATTCCTCCAGATATTTCAATAAAGCACCAACCTTTAACAGGACACGAACTTCAGTATGCCATATGCAAGGCTCAACCTTCAAACTCTGGACAGCAAAAAACGATCATTAGAATTCTACAAAGCCATTATATTTGTACTTCCAACTCTAAAATAATAATGCCAATAGAAATAATTGTGTGATAATATTAATGAGTCTCAATGTAAAATGCTAATTATTTATTGTTTATAAAGCAATTTTAAATAATGCAGAACTCATACAGTAATGCCATCATGATTTTCCAGTCATTAACTTAACCAGAATTTGCATTTTGGGACTATAGCCAGTGACTTACATGCACTACTTAAGTCATTTTTCAAACACCCTGTCCCATCTTAATCTATTCATCATTAATCACATTTGGTCACTTTACATACAGAACACTATTCAGATGAAAGATAAAAGAAATACATTAATAAAATTAAAGCTAGATTGAATACTTCAAAATATAAAGGTGGTGGAGGAATATGGTTATCAAAGCAATTTATACGTTATGCCTATTAAAGCAGAGACTTGTCTGTACAAAAGTTACAAAAGTTCTGAGAGTTTCTGAGGGTGTTTTTTCCCCCAGTAATGTAAAGGGTACTTAGAAATTCACCTTTGTACTCTGTCCTTCCCAATCATCTTTACTGGTGTTTACACAGTTATGAGAACATACTCAAATGCTGTAGCTTTTGTTAAATAGTGGGAGAACATACTGATAGCTGTTTTCTTGTCAATTTTAAATCTGCAAGAAATCTTAAACTTGGGAAACTGGCTTGCAATTACAGGCTCTGTTTATCTGAAAAAATCCAGTGCTGTGCCTCCTGCATCTGACTGACCTCTTCTACCTTAAATCAATCAAGCCACAGAAGCCTTACATCCTCCTTGTGCGGGTCTGGTCTACAAGAGGCTGAAAAGAAATTTCCTCTGAAAGGAGTTTTGTTGCATTCTGTCTTGCACCTTTCATCTCAAAGCAGCAGCTGCTTATCCACTCACAGTGGCGCATTGGCGTTAAGGAGAAAACAAGCTGACCAAGGCAAAGCAGCCCTGATGTTCTGGAGATCCTTGTATGCAAAGGGCGTTTTTAGCATAAGCAAGAGCAGCTCCCCAGCAGCATTCCTGCAACCTGCCTTAACTCTTGCTTATTGGCACTACCTCCTGATCAAAAAATGCTTCTCTTCCCAATGAGCTTTTGCTTTCTTTTTCTCCGATACTTGAATTACCATTAGTAAGTGGGAATTGTGATAGTTCAGGTGGGGGTTGTTTGTATTTTTCCATACTGAACACTGCTCTTTTTTTGTTTGTTTGTTTGTTTGTTGTTATTTAGTGGCCTCATTTCATTTAATAAAACTTTCTTTAAAAACAACAACAGAAGTGCACACAAGGCGGCATCAAATAATAATTCAATCCATACATGTTCTTCACAGTGCTGAAGGTAGTTATACAGTGTTCGGTTACTCTGGTGAAACAACTTCATAATCTCATCTCAGTTCCTAAAGAATAAGCAGCTATTCCACAAGCACTCAGTGGATTTTTATCATTTAACACTGCATGTGCAGAATTTCAACCACAGAAATATTTTACAGAGACAACCTGTCCAGTTCCACTGCGAGCCAAAGAGCAGCCACGAAATTCATTGGACAATTTGAGATGGATACTATCAGCCCAGTATATGGTGACTTAGGAACGAGAGCTCACAACTATAGAGAACATCACCTTATAATGCAAGCTAATTGCTATCTCTCCTGGAGCATATACATGTACAATATCCTGGGGATATTTACTTTTTGAAGCTAAGAGGTCTCCTGGAGGAATTGACAGCTATCTTAAGTTTCTGAGTGAGAACTCCATTTTTGTTTAATTATTAATTTTAAATTTACAATACATGTTGACATTTTTTGCATAATGAAAAAGAAGAAAAAGAAATATGTCTTCATGTACCTATTTACACAGACTCAAAAATACCGATCAATTGCTAGCTTTTGGGTCTTCACTTTTTAAAATTTGAACTTGTGACCTAAATAATAGGGAAATCTATTGGATAATTTTTAAGCAAGACCCATTATCATACTAAGTTTTGTCCCCTAACTAGATTGCTGCTGAAGAAAACTGTTTCTGAGGTTCCAGTCAAAAAGTAGTAATGTTCTATCCACACATTAGTGATTCCAAAATTCTCCATTATGAACAATATTTATCAAAAACAGCCCACTATCAGATGAAAGATGTGCCTTATCTTTTCTTGTCAACTAAAGCATTATTCACTGAAAGTTTCTTTCATATCTGTTTCAGGGGTTTCAGTGTCATTTTAAATTGCAAATCAATCATAGATCATGCAAGCCCTACTTCTGTAGAAGAGATTAACGCTCTGGCTAAAATTGTTTACAAAGCCATTTGTAAACCTTCTGCTGATGCAGATGAGGCAAGTTTACCAGTTTAACATTGTTGATCCCAGAGAAAGCCTTAAGCAATGACTTCAGAGGGCAAAAAAATTTGTTCATTTATCATTATTGTCATGGGCTTTCGCAAATGATAACAATTTGTCTTCATCCTATTTTTAGACAATGAGCCACAATAGAGTCCAGAAAGCCATTTTGCCAGATGGGAGAAGGTGCTTTCATTGCAAAATGTTGTCTTTTCTTTTTCTGCCCTATAAAATTGGCTTAAGTGAGAACCAAGGATATGTTTTAATGTCAGGTTTCCCAGTAGACATGATGACATACAATAACAGCACACAGTGCCTGGACAGCACATTGTCCAGATATATTGCATTTTTAAACACAAGAATAGCCTTTGTTGTACATTTTGCCAGAAAAACTGCAATATTAGCTGCAAGTTAACACAGAGAATTCTCACAGAATGATAGCTGTCACAGAATTATTATTAAAGGTTTAAGTAATACTTAGATCTAATAACAATTCTTCACTTTGCATTTTTGAAAAGACAAAATATTTTGTGTTGAGCCAAACAAAAAGTACTATAGAACAGAATTACACATGGCATTTTTACAGAATTACCGTGTGAATTCTGTTCATCTCAGTTTTAGTGATTATCAAATGACAAACCCTGTGCCCCTGGGCCAGACTTGTTGGGCCCCTGGGAGCAAAGACAGTTGTGTCTGTGCCATGGGACATGACAATTAAAGTCTGGGAGGCTTTCCTCCCCCTTCTAGTGCTGAGGTAGATCTGCATATCTGTCCCACTGACAGGTGGGACACACAAGGGGCTATGAAGCACCTCAGGAAGCCTCTGAAGTAACTCCCTCACCCCACAAAGAGTAAATCTCCAAGGACTAAGCCCAGAAGCACGGGGGTATATCTTTTGCTCTTGCAACCTTTACTCATCAGCTGTATTTAGGGCTGATGTGCCCCTCTATTCTGGTTCAATGCAGTTTATCAAAGAAAAACCGTTTCAACTGAGGTTTTGTTCCATCTACCTTGACCTGACCCTATGGAAACTTTGTAAACAGAAAAAACAGCTACAAACACCTTTTTCCTCTAGACTGCACCACTTTCAATATGCTGCTGTTCTTCAGTCATTTTAATAGTAATTTGCTAAAAAAAAAATACATAATTATGTCCACCTGCAGAAACATGCCCACAAAACAGAAAGAATGTTTCTTAACCTCTGATGAAATGTTGCTTTTAGAATAGTATTTCCCATTTCTATCCCCAAATTAATCTATCATTCATAGCTTTTGCTTTGCTGTCTCTATAATTGCTAACAATTGCACAACAGTAGTTTTTTTCTAAGCTTTTAGCACAGATTAATTGTTTCAATCTATGCTTACCCTTAAGAAATAAATAAAATTTTGGGAAAGAAAAAAAAAATCAAATGCACTCAAATATTCCTTTCTGTACTTTGTTATCTTGGTAGTGATCTTCAAAGCAATAGTATAGTCAGAAATCCTCTCTGTGTTTTTATAACTAGGGGAAGATGGGCATCAAGTCATATAACAGCACAGCATAAGTGATGTTAATCACCAGCCCCTTGCGTTATGTCTCTGGATCTCTCCATACGCTGAAAGTGTCCATCTGCCTCAGTGCAAATCCTTCGTAATTATAAAAAAAAAAATGTATTCTTGTACTGCCAAAGTAGTAACAGTTCTGTAAAGGCCATGTCTGAATACTCTGATACAGATAAAAAAGTCTTGAACATTACTTGATATAAAATATCATGATCATAATTGGGCAATAGGTTTCTCTGATGACAAAACCGTGTCACAGAAGTTGAGGCTTTTTCCTTCTGTATTTAACTTTTTCATTATGTAGTTTTCAGCCTCAGCAGCAAAATACTTAATTGCATCTATGCCAGGTGTTTCATTAATCCTGTTAGCTGTTAGACAAACCCTGCAGGAAAACAGAAGACAACAGCCTCTCTGCTTACTCTCCCCAGCCCCTGCTTGCCTCCTCCCCCTCTATTCCCCTACAGGAACTGACTGATGGCACAGCCAGTTTGTTGAACTTGAAGGCTGAAACCATAGAAAAGCCCATGCTTAGTCAGGAAACGTGGAAAACCAGCAGAGGTAAGTAAACTTTTTTCTTGCTGAGATTTAAGACAAAAATGTATAAATACCTGTGAGTCAGAGCCAATCATTTTGGAGAAGGGCAGAGCTAGTCTAAGTGGGGCATAGTAATGAGTGTTTAACCTTCAACAAAACCTTAACAAAAGTTGTTATTGCTAACACTGGCTAAAGACTAGGCTCTGTGGAGTGGAGATGGGGAAGTCAGGAGAGGTTTAGGAAATGAGCAGTTGCACATTTTCAGGCATTATTTGTTCTGCTTGACCAAATAGCCTTTTGTGAACTAACATCTTTGTTCACTGTAGGAGCTGAGAAAAGATATGGGAGAGTTATCTTGAATACAGGAGAAATCTTTTTAGACTCAATCTGAAGGACCCATGCAGTATAAGAATCTGTACCCTAACTGCAGTCTGGGAAAATTAATTTCTAACACCAGAATATTTTTTGGCTCATTTTGCTCTTGGTAAACTTTTGTTTGTGTGTGTCTTGAACTTCATTATTTTAAGTGCTATTAGAGGCTATACTTAAAGTTCACTCGTCACATTCCCTGAATTATGTATTGCTCAGACTGGCAAACACAGAATAGCATGCAGCTTAAGAGTATCCCTCTAGAATCCAACCAGAATCAAGTCAAAAGCTCAGAACTCAAAGACAAAATTGTAACTAGATAACAAAAGACAAAGACTGATATAAAGAAGAAAAATATATATGTAGGCATAGAAAAGCTAAAGATTAAGCATAGTCCTGACTGTAATACGTCAGGAACATTGTCCTTCCTTCCCACAGAACAGATATATGACTTGTATTTCGTCACTGCACTACAGCAACCCTCATGCAATGAACCCACTAAGAGGTGGGATCTGTTGGTGTTTGCAGCTTTCCTTCCAAGAATGAATATGGAAAGATCTGTAATACCTCAAAGTACCATATGGATTCGATGAAACAGACCCAGTAAGTCTATACACTATGAACACTCAGAATAATTTCTTCTGAATTTGCACAAAGCCTAGGGCAGAAAATTAGCTTCCAAACTACTTGGAGAAGTTCCATCAGTTTTTTACAATGTACAAGAAAAAGTTCAAGATCCCAGTGATCAAATGCTTTACTATACTAGACACTAGAAAGCTTGGGTACAGGCTTGGGTTTCTTATCCTTTTTTACTTTTTATTTCCCCATGGTTAAATACTCTATCTGCAGTCATCTTGCTCTGAGGCTAAATCCAAGTCTGCAAGGGATGATGAAGGGTGTATTATAGCTGCACTGTACTGTCTTTGCCGGGAATTGAGAATGATGTATTTGGGATTCAGCTGGTGTATTTACAGTAGTTTTAGTGACCCATAAAACATTGGATCTATATTTTGAAATATTTACAAGAGTAGCAGTCAACAGTTCTCTATCTACAATACTTTTTAATACTTCTATCTCCTCCTTTCTTGTCACACTTTTTCATCCTACTTTCTTTGTTGTTTATCAGCTCTGGTATCATTTTTAGATCGTATTATAGTACTAATGACTCTGTTCTTTGACATAAAAAAAATAGAGCATTCATAAACATGCTTTAGGTATATATATAAATCAATATATAAAATAATTCAATTATATAGAAAGTATATAAAAATTAAAAATAATAAATAAAAAAGCTTTAAGAATTTGAAAACCTTGCAGTAAATTTAGATTGTATGCAGAACAACTTCTCTGATAAGCTAGCTACTCCCTGGCACTTCTCCTCAGTGAAAGCAAGGTTGTATAAGAAGTCATTTGCTCCCATCTTCAGAACAGAGACACTTAGCCTAGGACCAGATTCCACCTATTTGGCTGCCACCCAGGTTCTGACCAGATAAGCCATGAGCCAAAGAAAAAAGCTAAAGAGAAAAATCTCTCTTTGTTCTGTCTCATTTCTAATCCAAGGAATGATTAATTATGTAGTTATTTAACAGGCTCTTTAGGAGCATGGCCATTCTGGTCCTACACACAGTGTCATATATCCACACTGCACCACAGTAACGCTGTGCAAACATAATCAATCCCAGCAGTGCCAGAAGCTCTGGTTCAGCGGAGTATGGGAAGATGCAATATATCCTTCTTCCCATTAAAGGCTACATCCTGAAGCCTCTTCAACTTAAATGTCTCTAGCCTACCAGAGGTCCTGTGGTCCAGTTAGAGGTGGAATTATTGATGACAATGCCATCAAAGAAAGGGAGAGAGATGACACAAAAGAAAATTTTCACCTTTATCTTGGAATTTAATGAGTAAATTAATTTTTTATCCTGAAGTTTTCTGTAAAGACAAATTCCTGAACTAGGAATAAAAGCAACAATTACTCTCCACAACCACCTCCCACTCTGAAAACTAATCTATTTACATAAACCAGGTTCAGTAACCTACCTACTTGAACTTGTCTAAAAAACATGCCTTAGTTTCCAGGATAAATATTATATGGAATAAAATTCCAGGACAAAAATGAGGTAAGATGATTCCCTTGAATCAAATATTGAGGTAGCTTTCCATAAGCCTGCTATCAGTAGCAGCAGGAAAATATTCCAGCTCAGCTATGTAGATAAAGAAGAGATAGGAAATACAAGTGAGAGGCTAAACTTAAATTTCAAGCATATACCTTTTCTACACAGCCTCAAAGTAAAAGATGCACTACTGAAAGGCTGCCCAGTGAAGGAAAACAGCAAGAACAATTTGCCATTTTTATTTCATAGGTCTTTTTGTTTTCCTCCTCCTGAGTTATGCGGTAATATTGAAGCAGCTGGAAAAGAAGGAATCAGAGATGACCTGGATGTTACCAAAAGACAAGGTCAATGTTTTGTGGTGTTTTTTTTTTTTTTTCTTTTTAAATTCTTCTAAACTATAGCTGTTTAACTAAACCATTCACAAATATACTTTAATTTGGATAATTCAGCATCAAATCTTGACAGTTCTTATCAGTTATATGTCCACATTAGCCAGCCCTACCTGTACCCAGCATATATATGTAAATGGAGTTATGGTTTCCCATATTGGCTGCTACAGATTTAAAATGGATCCTATATAAAGTCACACTTGTAATCATACAGACATCGCTGAATAAAAGAACAAGAGACCCTTCAGGAGTAGGGCAGAGTCAGATCACCTCGATCCCCTCCAGCACCAGTCTGTTTGTGCTGGTTGCAGACAAGAACAGCACAGAACAGTGGGCGGCAATGGGCAGCAGCCATTCTTGCTGCCGTATTAGCAAAGCAAGTAGAAGACAGATTAAAAACGGCTCTTGTGACACTTTCCTCTAGCACTTTGACCAGGTGCAGCAACAATCTGCTTCCAAATGGTTGACAGTGAACAACATGACTCAACCAAGCAGTACTTATCCACACCTAAATTGAGAGATTTGGCTTAAAAATGCTACGGATTTATAGAAGTAATAAATACTGTGTCTGCATGGAGAGGGAGGATGTACCCTCCTGGAAGTTGGATTCTTTACAATTTACATTTTGAAGATGTTGTTATCAACCACAAGGAGCCTGAAACTCCCATTCATGCAACAAGACATCTCAGACCTCTCATAGAGTCACCCCTCCAAAGCCATGGCTTGGAGACGAGCAGCCGCTATCACAACATTCCTGATGCTGTCGTGAGAGGTAGCAGTCCTGCCAGCGGTAGCTGACAACTGTTTTAAAGCTGTATAATTATTTAGGGCAGGCAAGCCCTCAGGGAATGCCTTGAAGGAATGAAGAATCTTTTACTCTTGCTTGCAGTTTTTTTTCCAAGACAGAAACACTGAGAAATGGGGAGTCAGGGTATGTTTATAGTAGTGATTATGCTCTCTGTGCTGCATTATAAAACTTTTGAGATCCTGATTAAACGTTTTATCTACAAGATTGTATCTGTGCTGAGCCAAATTATTTAATTGCACAGCTATCCCCAATTATCCAGCAACGTGGATTATTTATAAAACCATTAAATGTGTTACTCTTATGACAGCGACGGCAAATGTCCACTTTGAGACCAAATAGCAAATAAAGCTTATACAGCAATTTCCACACAAGTATCTAAAGCTTTTTTACAAATGAAATAAACCAAACAAGAGACAAGAAATTACAGATAAGCAAAAAGATTGAGAAAAACTAAGCAAGTCAGCTAAGGCCTCATACCGCATTAGTAACAAAGCCCAACCAGCTTTCATCTTCTGCTCTGGACCACAAGAGCATCTAGAATAAAAATAAGATATTGATTTTGAATATATTTACTGGTTAAAAACAGAAGTAGCCTTAATTATTGTGAATCAGTTTTTAAAAGCAAATGCAACTTGCACATTCATGATAGTTAGAATGTAATCATGCTACTGAAACGCATAAGCAACAAAAACTTCAAAATGTATATGTGTAGCATTTGAAGGAATTAGATTACAACATGATCTGTGCATTTTATATGAGATGCTCATTTGATGCAACTTACCAGATATCAGACCAGCACACTCAAAAATGTTTGCACATATACAAATCTAAATAAAAAAGATGGGTAGGCAAGTAATTGAAAATGCAGCTTCTCTATATTCTATTACTGTTTCATCACATTACCTTTCTTTTCTTTTCTTTTTGTTTTTTTTATTAAATAAAAGCTAGATAAAATCCAAAAGATTTACCACAAAAGATTATGGCAGTTCTGGACTTGAACAATGTTACAGCATCCCTTTTAAAGTTAAATCATACTTGACTATAGTTATAACAGTGTCCATAAAAATACAAACAACATGAGGGTAGTTCAGCTGCTGAATGCCCAGTGATAGTGCTTTTTATTGCCATGGACAAGAGCACAATTCATATACTGACCCCATTTTCCCAATTCCCCAAGTTTCATTCTGTCAGGATTTGGAGATGATATGAAATTTATACTTAGAACTGTAACCAAAGGAGGGAAACTGCAAAGGCTGCCAGTACCAAATGCTTGAAGAGTCAGTGGAATGCTGGCACAGCCCAGCTCCTGTGCTCTCTGCTGAGGAGCACTGTGGTGGTACAGGATCTCTTGGAGAACTTCTACCAGAGGCACTGCACTAATCCTGGTGCAATCACTCTGTAGTACCAAAGCCTAAGAAATTACTGCCTATTGTTTTAGAGAAACAAGGATTTGCATTTTAGCGGCTATGTATGTCCTGCATGCAAACCAAAGGACATCTAAGAGGAAGGACAAAGAAAAAAGAGCACAGTCTTCATCAGCCCTCATCCACTGACCTCAGAAATGGAAGATGATGAGAGACACTGAGCCAAGGTCCTGCAGGAGTAGAGCAGGGAGGGGACAGAAGACAATGAGGGAGAACTGAGAGAGGTACAGTGGAAATTTGGTAGTCAGCTGAAGTTATTATGGTAGAAAAGTTGGAAGAGAGGAGAGGGTTGAAGAGGAAGTTGAAAGTGTTGGAGTAGAAGGTACACAGAACACCACAGAGGAAATGTTACTACCACAGGGAAAGGTATAAGGAGAACAAGAATAAAATCCACAAATAACGGATTGCATCAGTTTTGTTGCTCATGGAATAATTGGTTTACATATTAAACACTGGCTGGTAGTAAAATTGCTATAAGCAAGTGATAGATAATAATAGCACAATAACATGAATAACAAAGATTACACAAAATAAGAGAAACAGAAAAATCATTAAGCGTCCGATTGCTAGCAGAGACAAAAAAGCAATTTATAAAAGCTTCAAAAATACTCACATTTGGAAAGAAACACAAGTTTTCTTACTCATATTTCCATACTCTTCTCGTTAAAATGAAAGCAGATCAATAATACGCTCTTTCCTATGCAAGAACAAAGAAAACATTTTAAAAAAATTTTTGCAAAGATGCAGATTGTGCTTGTTCTCCATTATTAACAGTTCAAGGGCAGATTCAGCTGAGCTTTAAATGTAATTAAAAAATGATTTCAAACAGCACTAGAAGCACTGTATAGTAATAGAGGATAAAAAACATGGGTGATAAGTGTCCCATGTTATTGCTGTTAGAGTTCATATATGATGCATTTCTGTGACTAGATTATCAGAGCACAGATGACAATCTGTACTTATAAAACTAAACAAGATGTCTCAAAAAGAAGTGAAATATTAAATTCTGTGCTATCAGCCAGCTACGCTTCAGCGAAACTGTGTGCATACATACTATCATTTCTATAAATCTGTATTTCTGCATACAACCCTCACCAAAGCAGACTCTCTGCAGTGTCTGGAAAAAGGAGAAAATCCTTTGATCTTTTAAGAAAAGTTTCAAATGGACTGAGGAATATATTAAAGTCCATCAAGAAAAGGATGAATAGTCTTGTTGCAGATTAACAGCCTTTCACCTGCAGCATTTAGTCACCCTTCTAGTTAAAGATTTGTTTTATTTTCCTACAGCAATACACTATATTACAACTTAAAATTCATATTCACCTGAAGAAAGCTGTGACATGCCTACCAAAAGAGACGTACACTGCTTAACCTAAATTGACCCTTTTTTCCTTCTGTTCTAATAGATCTTTTTTCTTTTTGTCACTCAAAATGAGCGTCTGATGTACGAGCATAAATTGTTAAAAGCAGTTTTAGGTAAAGGAAGAGAGAGTGAAGTGGAGTTTTCTCACAAAAGCCAACCTCAATTTATGTCAAAGAGGGTTAAAAGACCTTGGGATTAAAGCAATAAACTTGCTGCTGTCAAAGCTAAAACCCGCTAACAATTTAGTGCCAAACGCATGTTGTTCAATATCATTTCATATTATATTATGTCACAAGTAGGTGACAGTTCCACATCAGGCTGACAGGGCTGATTTACTCTGAAGAATTCATCGACATTTTGCAGAGTCAAAGCTGACTTCGTTTTATTTGGATGCAGGGTGGGAAATCTGTCTGTGCCGGAGCTGGAGGACGTGGCTAGATAGCACAGCCCTTGGACGGCAGACGACAGAACCCCAGGCCTTCCCCACGCAGTGGCAGACAAAGGCTGCAGGCTGCCTCCCTTCCCTGCCCTTGCTGCACTGAACCCAGCAATCTGGCAAAATGACAACAGACCAGGGCTTGTTTCCCCCGCTGATCTGGAGCAGCACAAACTTCCATGTCTGTGCATTTTTGTGCCACTGCATTTTGCAGTGGGATTTGCCTTATTGCAATTTCTAAAGTAGCCCATGGCTCTTTTCAATATCTGATAATATTTTCTCCCCAAATTCAAGCTTTTATGCTTCTCCAAAATATAACTGAAATATATCTATAGGTAATATATCCAAACATATCTAAAAAGAAGTCTCTGCTAAGAAAATACTACCAGCACCTGCTTATAGTTTAACAGGCAGAGATAACTTTTTTTCCAGGATATTAATTGGATACCAAGGTCAATTGTGATGAGAGATCTTTCTTAGGCCAATGCAAAGATTTTCTCACACAAAGGTGTCTGGTGTGAGATACTCCCATATGGCTTTTTTTAATATGGGTTCCAATTCAGATTTCTCCTGGGACTTGAAGAGAATTCTGAGTAAACACATGCTTTGTTGTGTCTCATGCAAATCTAATTGATTTGACTTCCCTGTCAAGGTGTTAAGGTTTATTCAAACCAGGGAGTCCCTTTTCTTCTCCAAAATCCAGGCATTCTTCTAGTCATGTTAACCCTTGTGCCATGCTTATTTCTTTAGGATATTTCCTCAGATCAGGAATTACAGCTCTGCTCCTGAAGCACCTGAGAAAACTTGCTATACTTAAGTAGTCTTGTTATATGCAAGAAAAAGAATACTTCTCTCTTCTTTCTCCCTTTTTTTTTTTTTTTTTTTTTTTTAATTGTGAACAAAAATTTTCAGTTTGTTCTTACCCTTACTTCTGCAAAAAGTGTAGTAAAATCTGTGGTCTTCAAAAGACACACATCACCATTTTCTCCATCTAACACAGGAGGTACATTAGTACCTGGCCATTAACTTCTGTAAACCTCTTCCTGCTGTTTCTGCGGGATTCCTTGGGCAGAGTTTGCTCTTCATCATGAAAAAGGTTGTGTAGAACAGCCCACTGCGTGTAAGTGGTTCCATCACCCAAGAGTGCCCTCTGCTAACCAAATACCAGGCAGCACAGGAGTTGCCTTGTCTGTTATGCAAAAGCACTGCCAGGAAGCAGAACTTCTGGTGAATTGTTAGACAGATTAGTGGATGGTTAATCTTATCTGACACTTAAAGCACTTTGAGGTAAATTTAGTGTTCACCTGCCCTCAAGTATACAGCATGAATATGCTTCTACATATTTATTCCTGTTCAAACGAGTAGCTCTAGTGATTGGAGGACAAACTATACCTGGCACAAAGAGATCGTTCAGGCAAAATAATGAAGAGGGAACAGACAAACATGCATCCTGGCTTTAAGCCTTTGCTGTTTTCTCACACTGAATCATGAATTCCATTATTTTTCATCCCGATACAGGCATACTCTCTTTAACTTACACATTCTGCTAGCATGACTAAATTCTAGTGTACTTTGGATTTTAATACATCTGAGCTCCATTTTCTGTGACCCCAGCACATGCCAAGCAAACACACGCATGCGTCCATGTTAAATGGGATGCAAGGCCTTGGGAATCCCTATATCCAGTGAGAACTCTCCAGGAGAATAAAGACATTTGCAACCTACTCCTCACAAAGGTTCTTCCAGTGCACAGTGGTGCACAGGCAAGTCAAACCACCACGGATCCCACAGCTGCTGCATCACCAACATCTTCAAGCAGCGCAGCCAGAGGGAGGGAGGGAATACAAGCCTTGATACAAGCTGAGACTGCATTCATTGCCTGCCAAAGGCAGAGAACTGGAGAGGACATGAGAGCTGCGTGTTGAGGCACCCTGTCCTTTCTGCTCAGCTCTAATTGAGCATGCTCTTGCCCTCAGTCACCTATACCTCTATGACAGAGAGCAAAATGATTTGTCATGTCTCTTTCAAGTGGGAAGTACTGCAGCCTTTCTCTCAATGCAGGCTGTGACCTTTCAATTTATGCTATCAGTTTACTCAGTGCTTGCTCTGTGGTTCATGATTAACTTGAAAGAGTTAGATCACACTCTCTCCAGGTCGTCAGGAAGGAATTCTGTTGACTGTTAGAAATCCCTCATGCAATAAAAGAGCACATAGTATGGCTGTATAAGCTATCTTTCAAAGTTACTTCTGTTCAGTAATGAGGTAGCAATTCTTATCCAAAAGCTCCTAAAAATATTTCAACTCGTATTTTTCTTTTTTTTCTTTAGGGTACTATTTATGAGAAGATGGCATGCAGAACAGCCACCTTGTTATTAATAAATATACCTTCACTTTCACAAAGACCACTCCTTATTAAGGGGTCTCATAGCTCTCAAACATTAATTAAACATTCTCAAAGAAGTTCATTCAAGATGCATTTCAATTCTAACTATAAAGGGTAAACTGAGATAAAGAGGTCAAGAATTATTCACACCTTAGCCATGAGCGACTGACAGACTACAGAAACTTCTCCTTCCTCCTGTAACCATGGTAGTGCAAATGACATAATATATTCTGGAAAATAGAAGAAAAAATAAGTGTTTCATAAACTCAAAGAATAGCATTCATCTTTGAAAAGCTCATCTGTTTACTTTCCCCATTTGTTTTTAGGAAAAAAAAAAAAAAAGAAAAGAAAAAAAAGCATTTGGGATTTCCTTCATCTTCACAGTTACCCTAGGAGATAGACAGATTGAGGAGCAAGAGCTGGACAGAAGAGTAGCATCTCCAGCTGCCACTGGAAGAGCAGTGTCTGAGCCAAGGGATTATTTACATTTTTTATTATTATCCATACTTCTGCACTTAAAAACTGCTTGTTAAGAGAAGTAGGGAGGCTAGGAAGAGAAAACAAGTCCTCTACTTGGTCCTCCAGTTTTTCCAGTCATGATTTCTCCTGACAATGGGGAGAGGTTATTTCACACTTCTCACTGAAAGCAGAAACAAACAAAACCTCTGTTTGGGACCTAATCTTAACAGAAATTTTTAAAGGTCTTACATTTTTTTTCAGATAGCTTTTTAGTTGCCCACAAGGTGAACATCTTCCTTCAGTGACAGTGAGTGCCAGACAACAACAGAAAATCTCTCTTGCTCCAACATATGTACATTGCAAACAGAATTAACAGCAAAAATTTCAAAAGACGTCTCAAACCCATTTTGCACACTCAAAGGATTGGTCTGTAGCAACTCCAATATAAGTGAGTTTAACTAAAGCAGATAGATTTGATGACATCACTTTTACTTCTTTTCCTTTCTAGTAGGAAGAGGGGAAGCTGACTACAGAAATTAAATAGATTAAAAAAACCACAAGTTTTTAAGAACCGACTCTGAGGCTCTCACAAGAAGTACATGTAACCTTATAAAGATGTATCACAAGATCTTTAACTTTCAGCTCCTTACGGTTTCATGACATTACAAGCCTACATTACAGCTCACCTCACCATGGGAGGATCTGACATAATTGCTCTCACTGTTCTACCTACCTTGCCCAAACTTCATAAAAAATGGTTTTTTATCACTCTGCATTCAGGTCTTTGAGATCCCTCTGTCTGTGGTCTATTAACTGCTGGTACCACTGATAAATACTTTGGTCCTTTATGTGGCTCTTTATCGCTTCTCAAGGAAAAGATAAAGAAGTAAAGATTTTGAGCTCAACTGGACCGGCTTCTGTCTTTGAGTTTTCCAGAGCTTTTAAAACTCACCAAGTGATCTAGGGCTTTCTGGACACCCCTGGATGTGAGGACAAGATGGGAACAAATGACAGGTTCTCTTATTAACTTCGCTGTTGTCCACATAGGTAATATATTAATTAAAGCAGAAGGACAACAATTCATATTAGACAAAGACATTGCCCGTGGACTACAGAACTGCAAATTCAGGGAGAAGAGAGCTCACCAACTTTGAGAATTATATCTTGGTTTTCAGCACCACAGCGGTCAGCTCGGCATTCACATTTTACATTTTTTTAAATAAAATATCTTCATGGGTAATTCTTCAGTTGAACAAAGTAACGGGAGTTATTCAGGAACATTCCATGTCTGAAAAATAACTTTCAATGTTTGCACTTCTATTGAAAATTTGAGAGAATAAAAAAATTACTTGATGCATTGTGGGTGTTCCTATTGTCCTCACTTTTAAATTATTCTTTTTCTTTTTATAATAATACCCATCTAATGGTATTACTGTAGCTCCTTGTCTGGAGATCCCTTTGGAAGCTTTCTGACTACCTAACAACATTTTTCAATTTCCCTACTTATGCATATACATCTTCAGTCCAGAGATGAGAATTTGCTAATGGACCACAACTGAAACCTCTTCCTTCCAGGATTCCCACATGCAGAATTTTACATAGGCTGGTTCAAAATCTAGACTGTTTATGAATGCTTTATTCTAAGAACAAGATGCATTTGACAATAAATATATATATATATATTTTGAAGTATATATTTACTTTGAGAACAAAAGAGAAGAAAATACATCAGATGACATGTTATCATAACATTAATGTGCATGCACTGTCAAGTGGATAAAAACTAGCATGTGTAAAAATGTGGCTGCCTCCTGAATTATGTTCATTTTTAGTTGTACAGTGAAGGACAAATGGGCAGTGATAGGAAATGGAAAACATACACAGAGACATACCTGTCTACTGTTTTTGAGGTCACGCCACTTTGCCTACAACAAAGCAGATGATGCATCCATTTGAATTTTTTCACTCATTCACATAAGTCTGTGACACTCTCTAGTGGAAGCCAGACATACATCACCTCAGCCACAATCAGTGCATACCCAACAATCGCAGAGAAACACCACCATGAGAAGGGAAACTAGCTGAAACGGATTTGGGCACTGTTGCATGTGTTTTGCTGCACTCTTATTTTTTAACACCACAACCAAAACACTTACAGACAGGTCCCTTCTGTTTGAAGCCCAGAGGATAACGTGGTACTGAAGCATAAATAAAGAGTGCCACTAGCAAGGAGTAACTGGCAGCAGACAAAGCCCAAGCCAGCAAACTGTCACGATTGCTCTAGAGGGTTTATAAGCTTTATCAAATCTGTGCTAGCTAATTCACTTGCAGAAGTGTACTGATAACACTGCTTCTTTTTTCTCTTACTTTTATTACAAACAGAAAGATAGACAGGTCCTAAGGACAGATCTTTTCACAGCTCTCTTCTCTTCTGCCAGCACATGCCCTTCTACTTCTCACCGATTACCAGGTTAAGCTACGGGCGCCTTTGAGCCAGAAGCATTTACTGAAATAAAAACCAATATATTTCCCAATAAAGCTTCCCTCTTCTTTCCTAACACTTGCACTGTGGTTGGAAGCAACATAAAAAATATATATACAGCTCCAATCTGTTGTTGTCTCACTTAATTTGCAAGTGGCTGTTTTTCACTACTCCCAGTAAACTGAAGTTACCATTTCTGTGCATGGACAGAGAAATAATATATATATATAAATACAGGGTGGAGCATTTGGCTGTCATATCCTATCCCATCCCCCCTCAGTTTCAATGCAGTTTTTTGCATATTGTTATAACAAAGCTAGTTTATCAACAGCTATTGTTAAACAACAACTATTAATCTAAATGACATAAATTAATACCACCTGCTGTAAACACATGGGAAGTTTGGGTTGCACTTTTAGCTGCAGCTTTTGAAGTATCCAGGACTAGATGCAGGTAGATCACAGAATCACAGAATCCTGATCCATGGATCCCTTCACTTAGATCCACTTCACATATCTACTACTCAAACATATGCCTTTGAAATGGAAGGATTTTCAAAAGAAACGCCTGGCTTTGAGTCTGTTGCTTTCCACTGCCATTTCAGCTGCCTTCCTCCATGTTACTTTCTGAAGTCATCCTCAAAGATGTCTGGTGATCCTCCCAATGAGCCCTATGCACAGAGGCCTGTGGAAAACTGACAAAACACTGGAAAATTCTGCCAAATTATAAACAAACCAACCCCACGTTTTTTTCAAACGTGTTTCCATGAATAACTGTGAAAGCTCTTTTGCTAATTTACTGCCTGTTTTGTCTTTATAGAGCATTTTTAAAATAAAATATTTCACCCCCTCCTGCCTCTTTCTACTTTGCCCTGGCATTCAATTTCTGTAACTAATTTGAGGAGTATTCTCTAATATTTCACCACATTGCCAAAGCTTAGTTTTTGCTCCAATGTAAAGCAGAACCACTTTAACTTCAGAGAAAATTAAAATCCATTCTGTAACATGGGATTATTCCTTGTGTTGATTTCTAGAAGCCCAATCTGATGGAAAGTAGACGTGTGTGAATTCAGACTTCACACAAACATACCGGGCAAAAATTGGCCCTGAACTGTATTTTATTCAGACTTCTAAAACATTTCCCTGCTAAGTCTTAAAGAACATTTAGCTCAGTATTTTTTTTCTTAGGGAAATTCACTACACAGTTTTTGAAGTCGACTCTCATGAAACATGAACAAAGCACTTTTAGAGCTCAATATTGTGGTTGGACTTGATGGTCTTGACGGTCTTTCCCAACCTGAGCAATTCTGTGATTGCTTACCACATTTAGTCCATTTGTTGCTAGACTAGAATAATCAGAGAAAGGGATCCTATTCTAGATTATTCAGAACAAGTAGCCATATGTATTTAGGTGCCCCCTGCAAGAGCTCCATTCTCTGTTGATTGCAAGTGTTGCTGGAGGAGGCTGAGAACTTTTTTATACCAACATTAAAACAGTAATGGTCTACTAAAAATATATATATATAACACTTCGTAGAGTTGGACAGAGTAAAAATTTCTCCAATTAAAAACTGAAAGCAGAAGAGCCATCAGGAGGCTTCTGTAAGAGAGATAAACATTGTGATTTAAATAATAAGCAACTGAAAAGAACAATGGGATTCTGCCTCTGAGAGATGTAAAATCAGTAATGTGGCATGTAGGCAAAGGTGCAGTCACTGGCTGACCACATCAATAAACAGAACTAAGCTTGTCACTAACGAAATTCAGGTGCAAAGACTTGTTATATTACTTATTTCAGGTGTACATACAGAGAACGCATCACTGACAATATGAAATCCACAAATAAAATAGTGCTGATTTAAGTGCTTACCTTCAGTTTTAGTTTGCTTCTTACAGTCTCTGAAACATTTAATATTTTCAGGAGATGTCAGGGCTTTCTGAGATAATATGCTTACTCTAGCCTACCATGTGTGCAATGGAGATTCCAGATAATAAATCCAAACGTGCTAATTTATTGTGAAAAGGATAAAATTCTGAATAAACTGTTTTTGTAACCACCAGAAACTGACAACATGGTTAAAAAAACAAGCTGATACTCTGCATGACCGAACACACATAAATCGTATTCATTTTCACCTAAAGCATTAATTATTTTACCTGTAAGAAAAATATCTCTAATTTTCACTGCTGGAAAATCAACAGGAAGTAAGCACTGCTGCTACATAACAGGCAAGAAGTAGACAACAGAATAAAACTTATACAGCACTTTTCATTCTGTAATGTCTCTCGA